TGGTATAGGGTTTCCTGCCTGAGCAGGGGGTTGGACTAGATGACCTCCAAGGTCCCTTCCAACTTTATTATTATTATTATTATTATTATTATTATTATTATTATTATTATTATTATTATTATTATTATTATTATTATTTGTGCTGCCCATTATCTCGCTATCCAAGCCATTCCGGGCCAAATCAATGCCAGCACTAACTAGGTTCTAAGATGTGTGTTTAACAACCCTGGCCTTCCTGCTGTCTTTCCTTCCAGACCCTTCCTCAGGACGCTTGGTTCTAGGCAACTTGACCCGATTTGAAGAAGGCTATTACCAATGTATAGCTATCAACGTCCTTGGAAACAGCTCCTGTCACATCGACCTCACCACAAAACGTTGAGTTTTGTCTTACCTGTTCCATTTAATTTCCAATGTTTCTACATTGCTTCTTGTGTAAACCAGCCGTTTATAATTAAAAAAAACTCAACTATTTTAATAAAAGCACGGAAACACCAAAGTTCTCAGGCTGGAAATCTGGTGACTGTGAGTTCCAGTTCTGCCTTAGCACAAAGCCAACTAGGTCAGGGCTTTTCAACCAGTGGCACGGGTACCACCTGTGGTACATTGGCACCTGGCGGGTGGTACGCGACCATCCTAGAAAAGTGGTAGCGGGGGAGGGGAATGAGCTGAACCGGTGGCAGCACCGCACAAGCCTGAGCGAGAGACGGCTGGAGCTGCAGGGCTCAGTGGAAGCGCCGGGATCAGTGCCACTTTCCAGCGGATCAGCGCTTCTTCAGGACTGTCAGGGCTCAGCGGAAGTGCCAGGATCAGTGCCAGGCTCCAGCTGGAGCTCGGCGCTGATCCTGGTGCTTCTGTTGAGCCCAGAAGAAGCACCGATCAGTTGGAATGTTGCAGCATCTCCAGGATCCTGTGATTTACATTCAGATGCTTGGCAACCGATTCATATTTATGATGGTCAGTGTCCCAGGGTCATGTGAAGTGACCAAAACCTGCTGCAACCACCCAGCAGACGGGGGGGAATAAAAATCAAACACCCCCTCCACCTCACCCCCGCTGCCAATCCTCAACAGAAATGCTCACAACAATGGAAACCCAGACAGGAGGAAGTTTTTGACACCTTGCTAGGCGACTGGTGGTACTCAGATATTGCCATAACCTAAAAGTGGTACAATGGGTGAAAAGGTTGAAAAGCCCTGAACTAGGTGACCTTGGGCCAGCCCCATTCTCTCAGCCCCAGGAAAGAGGCAATGGCAAACTGCTTCTGAAAAACCCCTTAGCAAGATTTTTCAGAAGCGATTTGCCGTTGCGTCCTTCCCGGGGCTGAGAGAATGGGACTGGCCCAAGGTCACCCAGTTGGCTTTGGGCCAAGGCAAAACTAGAACTCAGAGTCCCTGGCTTCTAGCCTGATGCCTTAACTACTACACACAGCTGGCTCTCTAATGATGGTTTACTTACTGGGTGTTGTTATTATTATATAATTTAGATGATTTTGTGTAACTTGGAAAGTGTTTTTTAAAATCCTAATCTTATTGTATTGTTGAGCATCTTCTGAAGGGGAACACCAGGGCAAAACTGTAAACGAATGTAAATGTAAATGAGGGGCCAAGCTCAGATGCTGTAAGTGTAACATGGGTTCAACCCAATCTTAGCCCTTGTCTTTTGTTTTTGGGAAGCCATTTTTCCTTGGTCTTCATTCCTCAACAGAAAAATGAAAACACCAAGCTACCCATGAGGTAGTTTTAAGGATAAAGCAGCACCCAGTTCCTGAAGATGTTAGGCAGTGTTTCTCAACCTTGACAATTTTAAGGCATGTGGACTTCAATTCCCAGAATTCCACAGCCAGCAATGCTGGCTGTGGAATTCTGGGAGTTGAAGTCCACATGCCTTAAAATTGTCAAGGTTGAGAAACACTGTGTTAGGGAATCGACACATTTTCTTGAAGTCCTAACAGAATTGTAATAGAGATGTGATGGAAGCATTTCCTTTCGAGTGAAATCCAACCTAGAAATAAGGAGAAATTTCCTGGCAGTGAGAACAATCAATCAGTGGAACGGCTTGCCTTCAGAAGTTGTGGGTGCTACAACGCTGGAGGTTTTCGAGAAGAGACTGGGCAGTCTTTTGTCCAGGGTGGTTAGGATCTCCTGCCATGGGCAAGGGGTTGGGGTGGAAGACCTCCATGGTCCCCTCCAACCCTATTATTCTATGTTGAGTTTGAATTACTGGGCCACCAAAAGGGCCCTGTAGTTACTCCATCACCTTCATGAATTGAAAAGAGCTGGTTGGAATTCACACACTGAGAGGGCGCCATTTTGGTCCCCCAAGGGAAGCCCCCTTGATTTCATTTCATTTCATTTTATTAAATTTATACCCCGCNTGGTATAGGGTTTCCTGCCTGAGCAGGGGGTTGGACTAGATGACCTCCAAGGTCCCTTCCAACTTTATTATTATTATTATTATTATTATTATTATTATTATTATTATTATTATTATTATTATTATTATTATTATTATTTGTGCTGCCCATTATCTCGCTATCCAAGCCATTCCGGGCCAAATCAATGCCAGCACTAACTTAGGTTCTAAGATGTGTGTCTAACAACCCTGGCCTTCCTGCTGTCTTTCCTTCCAGACCCTTCCTCAGGACGCTTGGTTCTAGGCAACTTGACCCGATTTGAAGAAGGCTATTACCAATGTATAGCCATCAACGTCCTTGGAAACAGCTCCTGTCACATCGACCTCACCACAAAACGTTGAGTTTTGTCTTACCAATTTCCATTTAATTTCCAGCGTTTCTACATTGCTTCTTGTGTAAACCAGCCGTTTATAATAAAAAAAAAAACCTCAACTATTTTAATAAAAGCACGGAAACACCAAAATTCTCAGGCTGGAAATCTGGTGACTGTGAGTTCCAGTTCTGCCTTAGCACAAAGCCAACTAGGTCAGGGCTTTTCAGCCAGTGGTATGGGTACCACCTGTGGTACATTGGCACATGGCAGGTGGTACGCGACCATCCTAGAAAAGTGGTAGCGGGGGAGGGGAATGAGCTGAACCGGTGGCAGCACCGCACAAGCCTGAGCGAGAGATGGCTGGAGCTGCAGGGCTCAGTGGAAGCGCCGGGATCAGTGCCACTTTCCAGCTGATCGGCGCTTCTTCAGGACTGTCAGGGCTCAGCGGAAGTGCCAGGATCAGTGCCAGGCTCCAGCTGGAGCTCGGCGCTGATCCTGGTGCTTCTGTTGAGCCCAGAAGAAGCACCGATCAGTTGGAATGTTGCAGCATCTCCAGGATCCTGTGATTTACATTCAGATGCTTGGCAACCGATTCATATTTATGATGGTCACAGTGTCCCAGGGTCATGTGAAGTGACCAAAACCTGCTGCAACCACCCAGCAGACGGGGGGGAATAAAAATCAAACACCCCCTCCACCTCACCCCCGCTGCCAATCCTCAACAGAAATGCTCACAACAATGGAAACCCAGACAGGAGGAAGTTTTTGACACCTTGCTAGGCGACTGGTGGTACTCAGATATTGCCATAACCTAAAAGTGGTACAATGGGTGAAAAGGTTGAAAAGTCCTGAACTAGGCGACCTTGGGCCAGCCCCATTCTCTCAGCCCCAGGAAAGAGGTAATGGCAAACCGCTTCTGAAAAACCCCTTGGCAAGGTTTTTCAGAAGCGATTTGCCGTTGCGTCCTTCCCGGGGCTGAGAGAATGGGACTGGCCCAAAGTCACCCAGTTGGCTTTGGGCCAAGGTAGAACTAGAACTCAAGAGTCCCTGGCTTCTAGCCTGATGCCTTAACTACTACACACAGCTGGCTCTGTAATGATGGTTTACTTACTGGGTGTTGTTATTATTATATAATTTAGATCAGTGGTTCTTAACCTGGGCGGTACCGCCCCCCAGGGGGCGATTTCATTTTTCAGGGGGGCGATGGAATGAAAAGGGGCGGCGTGGGGGCGATGGAATGAAAAGGGGGCGATAGGGGGGCGATGGAGCGAGATGTTTTGAGGACACTTTTGAGCCTTCCCCTGCAGCTCCGAGCGTCCTCCGCCATTTGTAGAGAGAGACAGAGAGAGGCACTTGTGCTTCTCTCTCTCTTTCTCTCTCATGCGGATTTGCCCCCTCGCAGGGCTCCTCATTGGCCCTGTGCCCAGGCGCCCCGCCCTCTGGGAGAAGCACAGCCAGGAAGTCCCTTTCTCTGGCTGGC